ATTTGAGTTGAATAAACAGGTTATATGCAAGATAAGAAAATGAATTTGATCAAATGATATTTCTTCTAAAAAATTGAAGTCCTAGTCTTGAACCAATAATTATATTAAAACAGTTCTTCAGAGTAAGTTTATTTTGTTTTGAATATACGCATGTTTTGAATTAATCTTTGCATAACATTCTATAAAATTTTATTTGTTCCTTATAGCAGATATATTATACTTGGTACAATATTTTTTTACTTATTTTAAGAATAAGCTTTTTGAACTAACATTATTAAACTTGCATATCACGATTTGATCTCCACAAACTCTCCTAAATTAGTGAATATTTTTATTTTTTTTAATCAACAAAAACTTGCAGAATTTTCAATTTACTTGACACCGAAATGTAGCATTTATTTAACCAATACTCAATTCAAAATTTCAATTTCCCAATTACATTCGTAATCACAACAATAGTGAAGAAAAATTTGAATAGTTTCAATAATAACATTACGAGATCGACTAATTGTTATGCCAAAATTTCTGATAAACATACAAATTATAATGACATCCTCAAAAAACAAGTACTCTCGAAAGTTTCTGACGGTGATATAACAGCAGCTGTTAGATTTCTCTGTTCTACTGATAGTCCTGCTGAATTTGATGCTGCAACATTGGAAGAATTACGAAGTAAACATCCTGCTTCTAAAAGTTTATACAATTCTGGACAATATACAACTTCCCATAGTCCTCTGGAAGTTACGAGCGTAGATGTTCTCAGAGCAGTGAGATCTTTTCGCACCGGTTCTTGTGGAGGTCTTGATTCATTGCGACCGTCCCATATTCAAGATATGCTAAGTTATAGTTCCGGTAGTTGTGGCGAACATCTTTTGAATTCTTTAACGAACCTTTGCAATATGCTTCTTTCTGGAAAGGTNTGTTGTACAACCCATTTTAGTACAGGCAAATAAGGTGAAAGTAAAAAATAAGTAAAATTTGTGCTATTAAAAGAAAAATTGTTTATCTCATAAACTAACCACTTTAACCTACAAGTATTATACATTTTTGAAATCAGCTCAAAGAGGAGTATCCAAATTTTACATAAAAAATATGAGAAGTAATTAAAAAAAAAGGGATGATGCTAGGGGTGAGGGGGTGGCTTTTCCAGTAAGTTTAAATAAGCCATAATGCTTGCCCCTTCCAACATAAATTGACGTATTTTTAGATTTTTCCTAAATACCAGTATTACAAAAGTTTTTAAAGGTGGATACTTTTATCTGAAAAGCAGTGTATATATATATTCCGTGTTGGGAATCACATATTTTTTCTATATTAACGCATAATCTTTCGATTGAAATGAAAAATTTGGTTTCGTAGGCAATACAAATCCTTACCGCGCAGTTACGATCTGTACGCTTTGAAAAGCGCCCATGCGCGTTCCGAAAATTTTACAGTTTGGTATACACGTTAAAATAAAAATGAGTGACTTCAACTTATCAACTTATCAGGCTTGCTTCAAGACAGACATCAAATTCAAATCGCGAAACAAGGCGTGTCCATCGGCCGTAACGTTTATGCGAATGTTCCTCGTGGGTATTTTCAGTGTTGAAAATACAAGAATCCGGATTGTTCTTTAATTAGATTCTAACTAGCTAATGATTACCTAATAGAAGTTATGGATTTGTATCCGCATCATTATGGAAGAGCATGTTATTAAAACAGTTTTATTTAAATTGTATTTCACAATGATTAGTATTCTATTTTGAAGTTTTCGCTTCCAGTTCTTCATGAAAATTAATGTATCATATAAAATACAGTTGTCTTGAAGTTGACTTATAATCAGTTTAATCATATTTCTCTCAGCGTGTCAATATTGTACTGAAATATAACAAAAGGATTCAACTGAAAGGAATATAGTTTATGAAAAGGTTCGTTTTTGTAAAAAAAACTTTTGGCTTTCTACTTATCCATCTTCATACAGAAAATGTGATATACAAAAGAACATCTAAGAAATTAACATTATTTACAGATCTAATAAAACTCATTTAACTTTTTTTACAATACCACGTGATGAATTAAAAAAATGGTCAGTCGTGTAATAGTAGATTAAGGTTTACCTTGTTCAATAACATTTTGAAATGTAACTATGAATTATCGAAGTGCCTTTGAATCGTGAACTGTTATTAACGCTACAGATGTGTCACAAGTGATTTATTATTCATACAACTAAACTAATGAATCTGGTTTCAATTAGGAGCATAGACAGTAACAAAAAATATAAACAATTTGTGTTTTTCAAAGACGTGGTGCTCTGATAGCAGCGTCGACCCAATGGTATTAGGAAAATGGATCTCAGTGACCATTATGGTTTGATATTTCAATTAGTGGTAGACGGTTTGGAAAAAAAATGATAGAGTATTGAAAGAATTCACGAAAAGAACTACGTGTCAGGAGAACCTATCGAAACTAAAAGAATTTTTAAGTAACGAAAACTACCAATCTGTGTATGGAAGTGGCTTGAAAATAAACGAAGTATACTCGAATTTTTTCAATATATAACTATATGCTTTAGATGTAATATGTCCTTTGATAAAAATAAAAATTGATAGGAAATCCACAAAAAATGAATGGATAACAGTTGAACTCAAGGCAGGAGGTAGACAATTGTAGGAAATTTATTGTCTAACCAAAGGTGGCCATAATCAAAATGTGCTAGATTTGTATCGTACGATAAAAAAACAACATAGTAAAAATATTAAAGAAGGTAACTGGTCGAAAATAAAAAAATAATTGCTGAGTCTTTTGCCAGAAATTGAGAATAAAAATTCCACCGGAATGGACTGCTTTACTACAAATTCCTTTGTGAACGACTGGCATTCATAATCAATAAATCTGTTGAGGACGGAACTTTTCCAGACCCACTAAAAATTGTAAAAATAATTCCCTTATACAAGAAAAATAACCCCCTTATAATCGATAATTATAGACCAGTAACCATTCCCAGTTTGTTGGCTAAGGTAATTGAAAAAAGTATCTGTTACAAATTATTTCCTTTTTTGGTGAAACACAATATAATCAGTATCTATCAACACGGGTACTGCCACGGTAAGTCGACGGATGGAGCTGCTGCAACTTTCCTGGAGCATATTCATAATCGCATTGAAAAAGGTAAATTTGTAGCTGCGCTTTTCTTTGACTTATCCAAGTCATTCAACTCCATAAATTTTGATATACTTACAAGCAAATTATATGCAATAGGTATTAGAGGGACATTTGTTGCATGGGTAATATCATATATAAAGTTTAGCAAATCATATGTGACATGGGATGATACGATCTCTTTTACATTCAACGTAGACATTGGAGTTTCACAGGGCTCAGTTCTGGCACCACTGATTTTTCTGATTTATATCAATGATTTACCTCAAGATCTAGATACAAAATCAGTATCACTTTTTGCCGATGATACTGCAGTCTCAGAGGGAGCTGATAGTCCTGCGGAACTATAGTCGAAACTGAACACAATAAGTAGTAAATTCACGAAATGGTGTCACATAGTCAATACCGACAAAACGGTGTTAGTTCAATTCTTCAACCGAAGACCCTTTGAGCTTATACAGGTTGATATAAATAATATCACTACCTATCTGTCGGAAACCACAACATTTTTAAGACTTCATATAGATTCTGGGTTGAGTTGGCAAGTTCACATAAACTATGTTTGCAAAAGAATCAACACCAGTTTTCAAGCATTGGTACAACTTCAAAAGGTTATGAATGAAAAGCATTTGGTGAACATTTACATTAACATCAGTCGTGCATTCATCTCTCAAAAAAAAAGAAGGAGTCTGAGTTTGAAACTAATTCAAAGTGTCACAATTACCCAACAAGAAATGGAAAAATAATTAAACTGCAGAAAAATCGTTGGAAGTTGTTTCAAAAATCACCCTCTATAGCAGGCTCCAAGCTAATCAATTGTGTGCCTTCAAATATAAAGAGTATTCCCTTGCAAACGGAAAGTTAATGAATACCTTTCAGAGATATGTTTTCATTCTATCAATGAGTACATCAAATATAGGGTACAAAAATCCTCTATCGATAGTACCTACCATGACACAATAGAATAAATATTCATTGAGATATGGAGCCACAATTGACATTTAAACAGCCTAATAGTTTGTTACGACCATCAGGACAAAACGATATTTCAGCCCCTGGCGAGACGAATATCATCCGAAAAGAAAATAGATAAAATATCGAAATTTTTCTCTTCGAAATCCTCAGGCTGTATCCAGACCACTCTGTTGGGATGATTGGTTTGATCAAGATCTCAAGATCATACCGGCTTGCCATACTAAATCAAAAATCTGAGCCGGACAAATGCAGAAGGCTGTCATTCTGGGCTCACTTCGCTTGCTTGCGGCACATGATTTTCGGACCCAATGATCACTCACCCCACAGTGTGGGGAGTAATCTTTGGTTGATGATGGTGGCACGCCCTCCGAAATGTATCGGGGCTTCGGGTGATGGGGCCCGACTATTGATAAAATGGTTTCATAATAACTAAAAACTACTTGATAATTGCCGTTGAGATGAAAGTTTATGAATTCCGTGAAAATCTGAATGAAGAATTCTTGGGCAATTGCATTTTTATTCATTTTTTTTTTCATAAATATGTTGCGTCACTAATCAAAGATCGAAATAATATGATCCGTTAACATTATTTTCAGATTGTGGACGGTGAGGTGAATGAAAACTTCACAAGTCAGTATTTACCTGATATCAAAGTAATTTTGTTTCTCGATGCACTTAAGCTGGCATCATGATAAATACATTTTGTTTCACGGAGTTTTCGTAATGTGAAGGTGAATTGCAAGAAAAGCATTTGCGAATAATCTGTAGAACATCACGCTGTTCAAACTATTGTATTCATGTTATCTTTTAATTATTTGATTAACTTTCTTCAGTGAAGTCAACAGTCATCCACGAAATGATCTAATCAGAGAATTTTGTTTCAGGACGAATGTCGGACCGACCTCAGCAGGTGGATAGGAGCTCCTCGTCCTGGAGTTCCAATGTTACCAGTTGCTCCAGAGGTAACTACTTTTCTTCATATTTACGTTGGAGAATCGCACAGATATAGTTTTATGTGAAACTGATTTAATTCGTTTTTTCTTTCATTCGACGTATTTCGGTCAAAAGAGAAAAATGAACAGACAAGCAACTTTAAGAATATTACTGGAGTTCAGTCCCAACACCAAACCGTTATTTTTAACACCTCGACACGTGTCTCAATCACCAAGTGATCATTCTCAAGAAGAATATTAAACTAAATTACATTCGATATTATCCTTTTCTTTACTATATAGAAACCTCTGCTAGGGACCTGCGTCTTAATTGTTCTAAATCAATTTCACGTGTTGCCTTATCAACTAGACTTAAATTAATTTTACAATATTGCCTTATCTAACAGTCAGATATATCTGATAATCAAATATTATTTCAACAAGCTATATATTACACTATTAGTTATACTATTATTCATAATATTATTATTACTTACTTACTTACTCACTCATTATTACTTATTTCTACACTTTCATAGGCATTGAGACGCCTTTTATTACTAACTGATCTTAATGAACTAAAGTTAATGGAATGGTTTTGTTGCAAACTATAAAGGACAACTGCTGATTTTTCTGACCTTCCATATTTTGAGCTTTCTTACTTTAATAGATCTTTCTGTCTGACCCTGAAGGTGGTATTTAAAACCAATCATACACTACAGAGCTTTTCAGATAATCCAAAGTCGAGAATTCGGAAAAGTCTGGAATTTAGATCAGCAGACACACTCGAAGAGTCAATAAGTCTTATTAGGGATGTGATTCATGTACACAAAGCAGGAGGTTTTGTCATTTGTAACTGGATCACGAATCATGAAAAAATCAGCCAAAGTATTGATGTTTCACTCTCAGCTTCAGGTGGAAAGAATATGGAAAAGAATGGAGAATTCGTAATGGAAAGAATTTCAGGAGTTTTTTGAAATCCTCATGACGACACGTTCAGCTTTCAAATAAAATTTCAGAAAATTGACAGTGATATTTTGGAACACCTAAGACGACCAACAAAAAGGGAAATCTTGAAAGTTTCGATGTCCATCTTTGATCCATTAGGATTTCTGGCGAATTTTTTAATTCAAGGGAAGATTTTACTACAGGACATCTGGAGAAGTCAAATTGGCTGGGATGATGAAATTTCAGATTGTATGGATGAAAAGTGGCAACTGTGGATTGCAGATTTGAAAACTATCCACAATTTCAAGATTCACAGACAATACTTCACTTTGGATAGACAAAAAAGTGAAATTCAACTCCACATATTCTGCGATGCCTCTGAAAAATGTTACGCAGCTGTAGCCTACTTAAGAATTCAACAAGAAGAGAAAGTTCAGACAAGTTTTATCACTGCTAAGATACGAGTGGCACTGATGGGAGCGCGCCTAGGACATTTTTTGAAGAAAACCCTAGACATAGAAATTTCAACTATTTGGTACTGTTTTGGTACGCTTTTGTATTGGATACGGTCTGAAGCTAGAATATTCAAAGTTTTTGTTGCCCAAAGACTAGGAGAAATACAGGAATTGACGAATTCTTCAGAATGGAAATACATCAATTCCAAAGAAAATGTAGCTGATGAAGCTACGAAGAGATTGGAAAAAATTACGTTCAGCGATAATAACCGGAAATGGATTACCGGACCAGATTTCTTGATATTATCACCAGATCAGTGGCCAAAAGAAAAAATGGAAAGGGAAGTAAATATTGATCATTTGGAAGAAAGACCTTGCGAATTTGTATTCTATAATTTCATTCAAGATAATCTCATAGTGCCTGATCCGAATATCTTCTCTAAATGGAAGATATTGTTATGTGCTACAGCCTATGTCATTAGGTTTTATGAAATTATTGAGAATCGCAGTGAATTCAAGTCCGAATTAACTGCAGAGGAAATTTGCAAAACTGAAATTCATCTTTTCAGAAAAATTCAGTTGGATTCATTCAATGAAGAGATGACATTTCTTAGAAATAAAATGCCCATCAGAAGAAAAAGTCGACTTTACACTCTTTCTTGCAGTTTTTCTGAGAATGATGGACTCATACGGCTCAGTGGAAGACTGGACCAGTCAATTCAGTTGACCGACTCTGCAAAACGTCCTATAGTTTTAGATCCTAACCACAGAATAACTAAACTTCTGATCCAACATTATCATGAAATGGTTCAGCACCATGTTCATGAAATGGTAGTGAACAATCTGTGAATGAGATTTTGGATATTAAGAATGAGGCAAGCGGTAAGAAGTGCTTGGAACAGAGCAGATAATTTTGGTATAAAAGGCGTCATCCGTTAGGGCGTCGCGACACCGATGCCAACTTTTTTAAATGGTAACCCAGTATTTACAATTGGTTTTTGAATTCTGCATTAAATTCTGAATTCAGTCATATCGTACACTTGTAGTTTTTCTTGAATAATGCATATATGCAGTCGTTGAGTTTGGGTTGAACGTTGAGTTCGGGTTGAAACAAAACTCCAGACGCGGTTCAACCCGAAGTCAACGACAACATACTACCAAATACTACTGCCAAGCCATTTAAATTTTCCTCAAATTTGTGCCACAATCATTTGATAAAAATTGCTCAGTGGTACAAATTAACTGATAAAGATTCTGTTTCATTTTAGATTAACCTGATTTTGATGGTGATATCTTGTGATGCCCTGGAAAAGAAAGGAAAACAAGTAACGAAAACTTGTTATGAATTACATTTGAGATCATCCGACAAAAGCACCAGAACAAAATTGTTATATCTGGCCAAATCTTCTCAGCAAAGAAGACCAGTTTTTTCTGCTGCGGGTTTTTTTGTTATCAATCAGGGCTTACTCAGCACAGTACTCTCATTTACAGTAAACTATACTATAGCACTTATACAATTCGATTTGCTGCTTAACATTTAGATTTCGCAGGGAACTGGGAAAGGCCACTGTTCCTCCTCAGGTGTCTATAAATTATTCCACACCATTAACACTAGCTTAGATTTTCTCGTAGAAGAATTTGATGTCACCAATCATAACGCTATGAGGCACAATATTTTTCGTCATTTCAGCGTGAGAATTTGTTATTCTCAAGTCATTTCACATTGATAGCAAACATCACCCCGAATGTATATGTGTGTTACAGATAGAAAATGAAAATTTGTTGAGTTTCAATAAAGTTTTGTCGAACTCAATTTTGTTTTTACTCTAAAAATCACCTATGAAAAGTCATACGGAAGGTTTCAAGGAAGTAGTCAATAGACTGTTGGTTGATTGAAACTGAAAAAATAGTATATTTTTTGTTGGTAGATTAGTTTTTTGAACTTTTTTGCTTCTCACTTTAGCATCATCAAACAATAAATGTGTGAATTAATGTGCATTCGAAAAGGTTTTTTTTCAGTTTTTATAAATATTTTATATATATTTTTATCGTTGTACTAACGACCAGCCTTGGCTCCGCACGGGTGTAAAGTAGATGAACAACACCGGTTCTATGACACCGGAAATTCAACTAACAGAAGCAAGGTTCACTGGGTATGCAGCGTTAAAGAAAAAACATGGCTACCATCGTGATATACAGGGTGTGCAGCGTTTGAGAAAAAAACATGTCAGACGTCAAAGTATACAAGGTGTTTGAAGCGTTGAAGGAAAACACGTGACGTCCAGCATTGAAGAAAAAAACATGGCTACCATCGTGATATACAGGGTGTGCAGCGTTCAAAAAAAACATGGCGGCGGACATTGAGCGGAATATACAGCGTTAAAGAAAAAAAAACATAACTGCCAACACGCAAGAAAAAACATCCAAGTTGGCGGTGGATGCGTTCCCCCAGTGGATCACACCATATGTTAGGTGGGAGTGCACCAGTGAATAGTAACTAGAGAGCAGTGTGTCAATGTTCAGCACCTTTTTTAAGTTGTCGTAACAGGAAAATATAAATGGATATTTTTGAGCTTAACTGATATACGGGTTCCGACCAGTTGAGTTTGTCATCTATAATTATAGCAAGTAATTTCGCGTGGTTTCCATTTGCCACCTGGTTGTTTATCGAAATCGTGAGATGTTGAGTTTTCTCTCTATTCAGTTTGAGGTTGTTGGAATTGTAACACGTTTCGGCTTTGCTTTCTGTCTCTTCCATAGCAGTATTTAGGCTCAAAGTATCCTTGTCAAAGGTAACCAAAGTAGCGTCGTATGCAAACATGATTATAGTTTTTGGAAGAAGTTAGAAGAACAGGTCGTTTATGTATATAGTGAAAAGTAATGGGCCTAAAATTGAACCCTGTGGTACTCCATGCTTCTTTGTTCTAAATTGTGAAAGCTCATCATCCACTGGAACTAACGAAATAGGACTGTTGATAACAGGTAATTTTTCATTGCCTTTTTTAGTATAGGAATAATTTTTGACATTTTCAGTGCATCAGGAAACACTCCTCCACTGTAACATGCATTTATCAAAATTGTCATAGGGGGGATTAAAAATTCTACTGACCCTTCAATTATTATACTGTTTAGGTCATAAATGTCGAAACTTCTAGTTTGCTTCAAAGAACTGATTGCATATACATGTGGAACATGTATAAGGGAGTCAGTAGCTTCCATATTCGAAGGCTGTAGAGAGTTTATCACGTTGTCAGCTACAGTGGTAAAAAAATCTATAAATGTGTCTGGTTTTACACAAGTGGTCTTGAAGTTATTTTTACCTAAATTCCTCTCATAATGAATGAGTTTCCAGCTATCTCTAGATTTATTGGTTTGAGTTTTGTATGAAATTGCTAAATTCATTTTTTTTTTTGTTCGAATCATAGATTGCGAGTACTTTTGCTTATAGTAGTTGTATGCGGCCTTATCAATAGGGTGTTTTGTATAATCGTATATATTTTTTATCGTAGCTAAAGTGTTGCGCATGTTACGCATGTTGAATGAACCACTGTCCAAAAAATAGCAAAAGCTGTTTTTTCGGCTGAGGATGACGACTGTTTTTTGCAATAGTCATGGAGTTATTTCTAT